CATTTACTCTATCAAGACCTGTTATTCATCTATTAGTCGAGCAAGATTCTCAAAGCTTGCAGTAATTACTTCCTGAAATTACTGGTTGGGTTTATTGTCTGGATAATGACTGTGTATGTATTCAGTTACATATTTAACCTGCATCTTTAGAGTTGCTTAGTTATTATACATAATTATTATCTTTATATGTTGCCGAAGCTGGACTGACTCAATAAATTTCTTGAGCACATGTGGCCTTATCTGGACAACATACTCTCCATTTCTTAACAGTGTTTTGAATTTCCTTCTCATAGTATCTTAGGTAACTAGCTTGTGTAAATTATTTTGTATAATTAGGTTTTTTGCATGATTGCAAAAAGTATTGTGCAGCTATTATTGTAGGGCAAAATTTTGAAACATCCAATTTGGGTTCCTTACCTACTTTCCAAGCTTAGTGGTTCTTAGTGGCTATAACTAAAGTTAGTTGGTGTTTATATTTTCAGATACTGTTTCGGCTTGCTAGACATTAAACTATGGCATAAGATACAGAAGATGTTATTTCTTACCCGCATTCTTTCCATTTGTAAAAAAAACATTAGATGACAATTGTTAAATGGCCTTGATGTTTTCATTTGGCAAGTAAATTTTCTACTTAAGAAGACATATCAGTTATGTAGGATACTTTATAGTTGCTCCATTTGTTAGCTGAAGTTCATACTCATATAAAACCGTCAAGGAGTTCACACTCAAACTAGTTGTTGCTGTTGTTTAGACACATAAGAAGAGTTTTTGATAAATCACTTGATTAGTGCAAGTTATGGACGAATTTGACTGCATTGAAAAGGTCCAGTTAGTAAAGCTTATTCATTTGACACAAAGATACAAACTCGCCAACTAAAAGGTCTTGTACAAATAAGAAGGAATGGCGAAAGGCGAAACAAAGGAGTTAAGTATAATTTTCCAGTAAACTAAGAGACCTAACTAAGAGTCCTCTGATTTTAACTTGATTTAGGCAAAAAAGTCTTTGAATATGTTGACTAGCGTGCTTATGGATCTCATATTGATAGAGTTTTCCTGTTAGTATGTGTTCTCTATACAACGAGTTCTTTGCGAGATACAATTACATGCTTTTCCTGAGAAGAAATGGCTTACATCTGGAAATATTAATAGAGGTGGCATGTACTAGCCTTCTTGAGATATAGTTTTACCAATTTCATTAAAGTTATCAAATGTAAATTGGTATGTTCCTTCGCTCATTATCAATACTTGTATTTACATACGTTATGCTATTCATTTACTAATATTTTAATAAAGTTTCACTTGATTCTACTTCAGCAATACTGTTATCAACTCATTTTTGAAATAATAATGATCATAAACATTTTCATGGATACTCCTTTTAACTTTGTGCAGATCAATTAGGCTCGCACATTTTGGATACAGGGTCTGTCCTTTCTGATGATTTAGTTCACAACACGCTCAGCTCGATCTACTTTTTGACGAACTTATATGATATTGAAAACTAAAATTTAAAAGTCAAAGGATAAAGAACTTTATGCGCTTTGCTTTTGGGTCCTTGCAAATATTGTCACTATACATATATTTACAGTAGTAATATTTTTTATATTTCTCTTTAGCACTTACAAAAAGTCATGACAAAGAATTTGAAAAATTAGTGAGACCTCTCATAAGAGAAAGTCAAAATGTTATGGTGAGAATCAGAAGTAACATAGCGTAATGAAACAATATAGATTGTTTATGTTGGGCCCGGGCAAATCCCGGGCTATCCCTACTAGTATGTTTATGCAAACGTATGTCCAGCTTATATATCTAATAAATATGAATTATTATTATATTATAGAAAAAGAAAAGATCAATTATTTCAAAGAAAAAAGTCTCACGGAAAAACAATACACTAGTAGTAGTAGGTTTCTTTTTCATTCAAGAGGTAAGGAGATATTTGTTTTCTCAAGCCTTGAAGGTTAATGGGGTAAATTGAATTTTATTCTTTTTATTTTTTAATAATAATCAATCTTAATATATAGTAAACTTTCTCTGATACAAATTCATAATTGAATTAATATATTTAGACACCAAATAATTAAATAATTTTTCTGCAAAGCTATCAACAAGTGCAAAATGCATAATAGAAGGTTCTAATCAAAGGGAAGATGGTGAAAGTGGGAATAAGAAAATGGCTGCTACACTTGAGGCATGATCTATGTGATGGCTAAAAATGAGTATCTATCCGCAAACACTATACTAATTGGCAGCTAGAGGAACTATGGAAGCAGGGGCGGAGCTAAAAGCTTGGTTATGGGTTCGGCTGAACCCAGTAGCTTTTGCTAATTAAATAGTATATTTAAGTTAAAAAATTCAATAATACGAGCAAATATTAATTTTAGAACTCATTTATTAGTATTTGATGTCGTTGTTCCAAAATTTCGAACCCATAAAACTAAAATCCTAGTTCCACCTCTATACGGAAGTTGCGTGGTAATTTCACTTTTATTGGTATCATAATCATAATCAAGAAGAATATCATACATTGAAAAAATCGGTAGGTCAATTTAGTCGCATCACTTATAATGTGACCAACTCAATAAGCCAACCATTTTTTTGTAAGTAAATAAAATATGAATACTAATACACCTCCGCATGATAACAACACTATGCATCTATAGCCATTGTATTGCTGAACTTGGATGTGCAAATAGCCAAATATCCAATCACCATATTGTTTATGATTATTGCACTTATGAGGAAAGGACAACGATCCTCCATTCAGTGGAAGAAGGTGTGATTTCACATAGTTGTTGATTAATATTTTTTCACTTAAGCAGGCACCATTATTGTAATCATATTTTCATATCTTGGACCAAATTGGACAGAACAATCTAAGCGGCATTATAAATGACGCCAAAATGCTCAATTTTGAAATTATTACACTGAAATCAATTGGCATTTGCATAACTTGAAGAATTTGGTAAATGCTTTGAAATGTATAACTTCCTCCAAAATATTGGAAACTCTTAATTAGATGATAATTTTTTCATACTTCATGCCCTCATTCTCGTATTCCTTTCCTTATCATGATATATAAAGAATTAATTGTAAAATGCATTTTAACTCATAAAATTTACGGCAGAGAGACAAAATTATTATAGGAATATTATATATCAATTCTTTTTTGGGTGGGCGAGTATACAATATAAGAATATAGGGAAGTGACACTGTATAGCCGCTATATATAAGAATATAGGAAAGTGACACTATATATATATATAGTGTTACTATATAAGAATAT